GCCTGATTCTCTGCCAAGGGACAAACAAGTAGGAAAGGGCCTCTTTCAAATAGAGGACAAGGAATCTGGAATCTGGTTGCTTCTTCAGCTTTGGCTTTGTTTGTTTGTCTAGAGAATCCTGGGAGTTCTGGGCATGTGGGACACTCGCCTCTTTGCCACTGAGTTAGGACACATCAGTTTAATTATATGTGCCAGCGCCTAGTGACTTATAAACTATCTTCCAAACGCTGATAGAATCCTCTTTTGTTGTTTGTTTGGTTTCCTGCCATTATGAACTCAAATTAGTCCAAAAGAGAGAGAGGAGAGGGAAAAAACTGTGCCCTCAGGAATGGAGAATAATCCCTGAGTCAAAGAACATTCTGGCAAAATACTCTCCTCTCCTTCAAAGGCCTGTTAATTTTTTGTTGCTTTTTTTTGGTCATGTTCTTAAATAATATTTTTAAACAAAGTCTACTTCTTGAAGAAAAAAAACAAAACAGAATTCTTCATCATTATTATCACTTGCTCCTGTGTTTATTCGCTTGCCTGTTCCCTCAACTTTGTGCTGTCGCCTTTCTCAGATCCAGGTCCCCGATTCAGAAAGATAAAACTGCCAAGGTGCAAATGCAAATGCAAATGCTCTTGGCATTTCCAGATGGCTGCTGGGCAACACCAAAGACTTGCTTCCTTGCTTTACAAAAGGAGGGATGCTTACAATGATTGGGTTTTGTACTCTTCTTTTGTTGTTTTTTGTTTGTTTTTTGAGACACAGTCTTGCTCTGTCACCCAGGCTGGAGTGCAGTGGTGCAATCTCAGCTCACTGTAACCTCCGCCTCCCAAGTTCAAGTGATTCTCCTGCCTTGGCCTCCTAAGTAGCTGGAATTATAGGCAGCCGCCACCACACCTGGCTAATTTTTGTATTTTTAGTAGAGACAGGGTTTCACCATGTTGACCAGGCTGGTCTCAAACTCCTGACCTCAAGTGATCCATCCACCTTGGCCTCCCAAAGTGCTAGGATAACAGGCGTGAGCCACGGCACCTGGCTTATATTTTTAATTAGCCAAACACTAGAGTGATAGCTGCCCTATGAAGTCTGTAGCATAAGAAAGTTGACAAAAAGAGAAACTCAACCTCCCTGGGTTAATTTTATACATACATAAACATATAATATGTGTAATATATGTTCTTGTGCACTTTTTAAGATGGACCAAAAAAACCTAATCTAATGCACAGAGGGTGGCATAATAAGCATCAACAAAGACATTTCTTTAAAAAGATTTTGTCTCTAGATTTAAAATGCCCTTAACAATTAGTGATAATGCTTTATGGGATTAAAAGACCCTGAAGATGGGCCAATGTGCTTGCTGCCGATGACATGTTTTGTTGGTGAGATGCGGTCTTGCTCTGTCACCCACTCTGGAGTGCAGTGGCACAATCTTGGCTCACTGCAACCTCTGCCTCCAAGGTCAAGTGATTCTTCTGCCTCAGCCTACCGATTAGATGGGACCACAGGCGTGCACCACCATACTCGGCTAATTTTTGTACTTTCAGTAGAGACAGGGTTTGACCATGTTGGCCAGGTGGTCTCAAACTCCTGACCTCAAGTGATCCACCTGTCTCGGCCTCCCAAAGTGTTGGGATTACAGGCGTGACCCACCGCGCCAGCCTAATATGTTGTTAATATGAAAAATTGATCATGCATTATACCTTCATAGAGGACTCTATTGTCCTCCATTGTGATATTGTTGATTATTACAGTTAACTAACCGGAATCCTTTGGTCTAATCAACAGGTCTGATTTTTACCCTCACACTTGCTTAAAGGCCTCTGCTTCGAGCTAGAATAGACAAATGCATACAGGCTGCCACGCTGACATCCTCTTCTTGACCAGACACTGCCAGAGGCCAAGGTGGACTCCAAGAGTCCTTGGTCCAGAAGTAGATAACTTGGAAAGCGGGCTAACTAACCCACGATCAGAGGAACAGGGATTATTCCCCAGGACTGGATGAAACTGCTTTTACCCTTCATGTTCTACTAATGTTCTAACTTTCCAAGTCTTTTTTTTTTCCTTTAATCTGTCTCTAATCCTCAATTTAGGAGGCTGTATTCAATAAACTGGAATAAAATATTCCTAAAATGGTGCCTTCTTCCAACTAACTCTTCAGAATTCTGGGGGTGAGGGTGGGAGGGGGACTATAAAAACCTAACAGATATGAAATAATAAATCATCAAGGAAATGTTGAAATAATCATTCTACTGAAAACAACAAATGTAATTGGCCTTATCTACAAACCTACTTGGAATAATTGCTAAAAACTCTTCAAAGTATCTTTGCTGAGACCCTTTTCTTTTACGATCATTAGTTCTGTAAACAGGATCTATAAGAATCCATCCTCCTTCCTAACAGGATATAATTGGGTAAATCAAATTTGTAACCATGGCTGTGCCAGAAATGTCACATTTAAAGACGAATTTCATTTAATTAGGCATGACAAGTCTGAGAATAAGAAACAAGGTCTGCACTTCAAAAGTGGGAATGAGGCCTCCCCGGGCCTCCAGGAAACCGGACTGGACCTGCTCTGTGGCTTGTGGAATTTCAGCCTTTAAGGTTATGAAAAGACATCAATCTCTGCACGTCCAGAAACACTGACAAACGAAGATTCTCCAAAAACAGGGTATCCCCCACATTACACGTTGAATAGGCACAATCTGGCAGAGGTGAATTGGATGGTTCTAGGTTCCTGATCTCTAATAATATAAAATTTTTTCACACCGACACACACACACACGCAATTCTGGCCTGGGGGCCTTACAAAGTCTCCTAACAGAGTTAACTCTCAAGCTTTTCTATCACATGCTCTAATTTTAAGAACCATACAACTGGGAGGACTTTATCAATCAACACCTTGTTACATACATCTCTGTACATAAACCTGGCCACATTTTTAAAAAATCAAAGTAACAACAAAATCAGAAAATTTCTGAAACAATCTTACGTGGTCAGATTTGTGCCTTGGGAAGCACAGCAACGAGAAAACAGACTGACACCTGGCCCTGCTGCCACTGTACCATTTCATTCTTTTATTTTATTTTTTCTTTTGAGACAGGGTCTCACTCTGTCACCCAGGCTGGAGTGCAGTGGTGCAACTCGGGCTCACTGAAGCCTCGACCTCCTGGATTCAAGCAATCGATCCTCCCACCTCAGCCTCCCAAGTAGCCGGGACTGCAGGCATGCACCATTACTCCCAGCTAATTTTGTATTTTTCTGTAGAGATGGGGTTTTGCCATGTTGCTGGTCTCGAACTCCTGAGCTCAAGTGATCAACCCACCTCAACCTCCCAAAGTGCTAGAATTATAGGCATGAGCCCCTGAGCCCAGCCTGCCACTTGATTCTTACTATCATACTCACACATCATGTCCCAAAGTCAGAGAAATAGACAAGGTAACACATCTTGCACCCAGGGATAAAGGATTCAAAGACAATGGAGATAAACGAATAAATGACAAAAACAAAAAAAGCAAATAAAAGATAGAGCCCTTCTCATGGTGGCACATGCCTGTAATCCCAGTTACCTGGGAAGCTGAGGAGGCAGAGGTTGCAGTGATCTGAGATCACGACACTGCACTCCAGCCTGGGCAATACAGTGAGACTCTGTCCCCCCACCCCCCCCAAAAAAAGAAAAAAGAGCCCTTCTGTATAGTATTGGTCCTCAAAACAGAAAAAACCTTGAGTTCTTTCTGTAAATTACAAACTCCACAAACTCCACAACAAAAAACAGTTTTATCCCTGACTTTTACAATGCTGATATTAGCAAACACGTGACAATGCTCACACAGATGATCTCTCACATGTGAGAAAATGGTGCTGCTTCCCCTCTGAGCAGACGAACTGCAATCTTGGTAATCTTTGGCTCGTTTTTAAAAATACCAATGGTATTTTTATTTTGTGAGCCAGTCTTTCTGATGGCTACACCCTCCTGCACAAACTTTTCTTTTTTTTTTTTTTTTTATTTTCTTGAGACAGAGTTTCACTCTTGTCATCCAGGCTGGAGTGCAATGGTGCAATCTCGGCTCACTGCAGCCTCCACCTCCTGGGTTCAAGCGCGTTTCCCGCCTAAGCCTCCTAAGTAGCTGGGATTACAGGTGCCCACCACCACACCCAGCTAATTTTTGTATTTTTAGTAGAGACAGGGTTTCGCCACATTGGCCAGGCTGGTCACGAACTCCTGACCTCAGGGGATCCGCCCGCCTCAGCCTCCTAAAGTGCTGGGATTATAGGCGTGAGCCACCGCGCCCAGCCACAAACTTTTCTTAAAGCATTTATAGCTTTGAATCTCCCTTTCACACACTCAACTAGACTGTATGCCCCATGAAGGCAGAGATTTTCATCCGTTTTGTTCCTTGCTGTATCCTCAACATCTAGAATAGTATCTGGCATAGAGTAAAAGTTTCTGTAAGTATTTGTTAAACAGATGAATCATATGCTCTGTAAAAACCAGTTATATTTATTCCAAAGTATTTAATAATTGCTTATTTTATGCCACAAACTGGGGATGTGGAAATGGAGGAGACTGAGCTCTTGCCTTCAAGAACTCCCAGGAGACTGAGTGAGGTGGGCAGATAAACAGATGTGGGCATGACAGCCTACCACTGCTATGATGGACATGCACAGAGCCCTGTGGGGACACAGAGGTCGGGTCCCTTACCTAGCTAGGGCAATCAGGGAGGGCTTCCTGGAGGAAGCTAGACTGAGCGATGACAAGGGGATGGCCAGAGAAACAGGGAAAAGCGGGAGGAGGGTGTCTCTGGTAAAGGACACAGCATGTACAAAGACATAGAGATGAGAAACAGTGGGGATGGGGTGCAGTAACAACAGCTGAGGCCAGTGAGGTCCTCAAGGGCTGTGACCCTGAGGGCAATGGGCACCTGGAGAAGGTCCTTGCCCCTCCTTGCACTGGCTCCATGTGCCAGGCCACAGGTGCTGAGTTGGGCTGCGGCGGGGCAGCAGGCAGGTCACTCACCTGGTGTGCTGCTGGAGGTGGGAGAGCTGCCGGAAGGACTTATCACAGTAGGAGCAGTGGTAGGGCTTGACGCCCAGGTGGATGCGCAGGTGCTGGGCCAGGTAGGAGGCGTTGGCAAAGGACTTGGAGCAGTGCGGGCACTTGTGGGGCTTGGCCTCTGTGTGCGACTTGGAGTGGATCTGCATCTCCGACTTGGTGAAAAAGGTCAGGGGGCATACCTTACACCTGCGGAGCAAGAGGCAGGTTCACACGCGGGAAGACCCTCCCAGCCTGTCCATCTCAGGGGAGCTCTTCCACATCAGAGAGACCTTGCACCTGGGACAGTATTTTCCTGTGAGGAGCCCAAGAAGCACAGGCCCACCTGGGAAAGACAGGGGACAGTCTCCCAGCCTGGGCACCCTTCAATCTGGAGGAGGAAGCTCTTGCCTGGGGGAACATTACAGAGCCCGGGGCATAGGGTTATACCTCATAGGGAAGACAGGCCTGATCCTGGTGAGGCTTTGCCCAGGGCTACATCCCATGGTTCTGGGGAGGAGGCTCTACCACGTGAAGTAGTTCTCAACCAGGCTGCTCATTAGAATCATCTGGGGAGCCTCTAAGAAATACCAACACCTGCCCCACCCTCCACACCCTCTGCCCTCAAAAAATTAACTCAGAATTCCTGGAGATGCAGCCCTGGCATCTGCATTTTCTGAAAGCTCTTCAGGTGATTCTTTAAAATTCTGGTGGTGGTGGTTGTTGTTTGAGACAGTCTCACTCTGTCGCCCAGGTTGGAGTGCAGTGGCCCGATCTCAGCTCACTGCAGCCTCTGCCTCCGGAGTTCAAGTTATTCTCTTGCCTCAGCCTCCTGAGTAGCTGGGATTACAGGGGCGCACCACCAGGCCCGGCTAACTTTGTATTTTTTGTAGAGATGAGGTTTCACCATGCAGGCCAGGCTGGTCTCAAACTCCTGACCCTAGGTGATCCACCCACCTTGGCCTCCCAAAGTGCTGGTATTACAGGCATGAGCCACCGTGCACGGCCTCTTCAGGTGATTCTAAGGTGGCCAGGGTTGAGAACACTGCTTAAAGGGAGGAGGAAACCGACTCTCACAACCCCAGGCTGTGGGGGCGGCTGCCAGGCACGGGCCACACCTAAGGGTCCAAAGCTCTATTACCCTACCCAGCAGCCCTGCCCGAATCGGGACCCGGGATGTGGGTGGGGCTCTCCAGAAGGCCCCGCCCCTCTGGACCCTAGCCCTGCCCCCTCGGCCCAAAGGGTCCGTTTGAGCCCCACTGCTGGGCTCCTGGAGCAGCCCTGGCTCAAGCCCCAGCCCCAAGCCCACTCGGACCTCATCTCGCCGAGACCCCCACCTGTACGTCTTGCCCTCCTTGGCAGTCTCGCCCGAGGCCAGGATGGGGTAGGGGACTACAAGGACAGGCGGACCCCCCGGGTTCTCCGCCTTGATCTTTTTGCGGCCGCGTTCGGACTTGGGGGGGCCAAGCAGGCCATGGCCCTGGATTGTCTTGATGGAGTCCAGGAGAGGGGGGCTGGTGATCCCTGAGATGAGGGTGGGGGACGAGGCGATGAGGCGGCTCTGGCTGGTGGTGGTGGGTGTAGACGGGGTGCTGGTACCCGTGCCCGTGCCTGTGCCCGCGCTCGACTCAGAAGTGCTCACAGCCGGGGTCCGGGTGGACAGCCCCAGACCTGCGAAGACAGGCGGGTGGGGGTAGGGGTGAGGGGAGCTGCAGAGGCCAGCTCGGCTGCCCACCCAGCTATGTGATTTTGGCAGGCAAGCATCCCCTTAACGTTCATAAGTTGCTACCCAGGGGTAACTAAATGAGACCTTGTGCATGTGTAAGATGCCTTAGGCACCTTAAGATTAAGTTGAGTTATATAACAGAGGCACTTTGGAAAAATTCAAACTATAGAAAAAGACTGAGGCACAAAGAAGTTCACTGCTGTCTTATTTATAACAGCAAAATTTTAGAGGCAACTGAAATATGCAACATTAGGAAGGGGTTCGGTAAACAGCGATTAATTGCCTCAGCTGCCCATTGAAAAGGAGGTTATGTTTGTTTAAGCAAACTACATATGTATGCACAGAAAAAATAAGTAGGAAAGAATGTGCCAAAATGAGATATGGATGGTAGACTAGGAGTAATTTTTTTTTAAAAAAAGAAGCTTAACTGTACTTGATTCGACAATGAGAGCTTTAAAAACTTCTGTAGTAAAAGTTATTCTTTTAAAAATGAGAGGACTAGACACATTTATAATATCAACTGAAGCAGACAAAAAGAGGAAAATGGTATCTATTGTGTGGTTCTAACTACGTTTTTTTTTTCTTTTAAAAAAAAAAGCTAAAAATTTGTGCATTGAAAAAGATAATGTCAAGTCGGCAGGAGAATGTTTTGTATCACACACTGGTGGTGGGAGCATACATTTGCAAAGCCTTAATGAAGGGTAGTCTGGCAACAGTCATTAAAATTTAAACATGGCCAAGCACAGTGGCTCACACTTGTAATCCCAACACTTTAAGAGGCTGAGGTAGGAGGATTGCTTGAGCCCAGAAGTTGAAGACCAGCCTGGGCAACATGGCAAAACCCTGTCTCTCTACAAAAATTACAAAAATTAGCTGGGTGTGGTGGCATGTGCCTGTAGTCCCAGCTACTAGGGTGGCTGGGGTGGGAGGATCACTTGAGCCCCTGAGGTGGAGGCTTCAGTGAGCCATAATCACGCCACTGCACTCCAGCCTGGGTAACAGGACAAGACCCTATCTCTTAAAAAATAATAATAATTAATTTAAACAAATTTTAATGTACATAACTTTGGCCGAGTAATTCTACTTCTAGAAATTTACAATAAAGAAATATTCCCACATGAGCACAAAGACGTGTATACAAGTCCATACAAAACTGTGATCAGATAAAATTGAACACAACCTGTTTGTCCTCAGCATGAGCTTTGTAAAGAGCTGTGGTCCACTCTCATTAGGGAGAACTGCACAGCCACTAAAACAAGATCGATGTGATGCAGTGACAGAGAGAGAAGGTCGAAATGTGCTGTCAGGTGAAAAAAGCCAATCACAGACATAGGAGGTCATCTATTTTAAAGAACACACACTCAAACTACACATGTAGTTTGGACAAGATACATGTGCATATGTAAACGCACAGGAATAGATCTGAGAAAAGACACATCAAACTGCTAATTGTGGTTCTCTCTAGGGAAAGAGAAGAATTTTTTGGTAAAGGAGATTTTCCTACTTTGTCTATCTGATTCTATATTATTTGAATCTTTTACCTGGTGAATTTATCCATTTTTAACATCTGTGGTTAAAGGACAAAATAAAATAAATTATAAACATGAAAATTCTCACAATAGTAGGATTAAGGCTATTTTTTCTCCTTTCAGCTTATTGGCAATTTCCAAATTTTCTACAATGACTATGTATTACTTTTATAATAAAAAGTGTAATATATATGTTTATGACAGAATGGTGAGTAGGAAAAGCAAGTTAAAACCATGGGTACAGCCCTACCACAAGCTCAGCAAAACACACACGAATATTGAAAAACAAAAAATATGGCAAAGGAAGGAAATGGACCAAGAGCCTCTCTGAGCTGCTGGGTTGGGAGCTGGGGATTATGAATGATTTTTTTGTTGCTAGTTTCTCTTTTTTCCAAATTTCCCTTAATATGCTTATATTACTTTTTTAAATATTACTTTTATAATGGAAAAAATAAATTTAATAAAATCATAGTAACAGGGGATATGCAGAGTGCGGCTGGGGCCTGGATAGGTTTACCAGGCCCTGTAATTCTTGGGTGACTCTGGGAAAAGGCAGGAGAGAAGGAAAGCGGAAGAATCACCTGGCTGGCAGCAGAGGCGACAGGGGAGGAACAAAGGCCCAGCCACTGTGGTCTCCCAAGAAAGCCTATCCACCAGGCTCCAGGGAGAGCCACCAGTGGCTCCAGCCCCTTGACATTACCCCAGGATGTCCCCCTGGCACCCCAGCCTCAACCTATCCAAGACTTAGCTCACATCTTTCCCCAACCCTGTTCCTTCTCCAGGGATTTCCTCACAAGGGCAGTGGCCCAGGAGTCTCCCTCACCTCCTGCCTCCCCTCACACTCCTACATCCTGTCCTCTCGTCTCCCACAATGTATCTCAGATCTGTCCACTTCTCTCTATTCCCACTACCACCGCGTTGCCCAGGTCACCACACTCCTGAAGATCTCCCTGCTTCCATGCTTACCCCCTGACAACCTCTTCTCCACCTAGCAGCCAGACTCCGTTTTCTCAACCCATATCTGAGTGTTTCCTCCCCCACTTAAAAACCTTCAGTGGTTCCCCACTGCCCAAGGGTCAAGTCCAAACTGCTTTGTGGCCTACAGGGCCCTTCTTAATCTGGTCTCTGCTTCCTCCAAGCCTCAGCAGAACTGAGCATCAAAACAGAGTGAAGACACGGGCTCTGGAGCCACACTGCTGGCCTCTGCCTCTTACTAGCTGTAAACCGTGGCTGCACATGGCTTTACCTTTCTCTGCCTCAGTTTCCTCATCTGTTGAATAGAGACATTAAGGTGAACTGCATGAAACTGCTGTTTTTCTACGTCAAAACGGTCCAGTGTTCCACCTAATACCAACAGCACACACCTCACAGGCTGCTGGGAGTACAATGAACACTGGTGAACAGACGCGGGCGCTCTACTGCAGCTAGCTGCCACCATCACTATCATCATCACCATATTCTAGGCCTTCCCACCCCAGACGGTCTGTCCTTCTCTTGCTTCCTACACACATACTCCCTCCGCATGTGCGGTTCCCTCTTCCTGATTTCCCTGGTTTGCTGCCAACTTTTCCTTGCGTTTCGGCTCTTACCCCTCAAATCTGGTCGTTCTCTGGGTTCCCAAAGAATCTCAGGATTTCCAAAGTTCTATATTGGAAACCTAACTTTCCTGGTGAGCCCCATGGGACAGTGACCCGCTCCTGTTGTGTCCACTGCGGGGAGAAGGGTCCTTCCGGTACAGGGTCGTTGGAACTCCGGTGCTGTGGCTCGTCGGGGCCATCCCCGCCACCCCAAGCTTTGCGCCCTACCCCCAGGTCCAGCCCACCCTGCTCTCACCTAGCAGGGTCCCATCCTCACCAAGTCCCCTCTACGCCCGCCCCCTCCCACCCAGTCCTCCCCGGCCCCGCCCACTCGCCGGCCCCGCCCGTGCCGCCTACCTGTGACGGTGCTGGTGGCCGGCCGCGCGTGCAGCGCCACGTCGGGCTGCGGCACCGCCTGCGGATGCAGCCCCGGCACCTGCTGCAGCTTGGGCAGCGACATGACGGCCTGGCTGCTCTCCGCGGGCGCCGGCGGCACTAGCAGCGGCTGCTGCGACGAGGCCGACGTGGGCGGCAGGTGAGGCGGCCTGATCTTCTCCGCCATCAGCTGCTCCTTGATCTTGTTAATCAGGACCAGGTTGTCCAGCTGCGGGCGTAAGACGACGGGCTGAGGAGGTCTGGACCGCGTCCCGCGCCTTCCCCAGGCCCGCTGGTCCACCCGCGCCCCTCGCTCCTCACCCCTCGCCCCACAAGGCACAGCCAAAACCCAGGGCGAAGCGAAGCAGCTCCAAGGAGGGTAGGGCATCCGGAGGGGCGACGTCAGTCTTACCTGGCTGGGCATGGTGGGAGGAGGGGGCCAGAAGTAGGGGTTGTTAAATCGAGGCTCGGCCATCCTGCGGGAAGAGAGCGACTGTCACCGGGAAGAGAGCCCTCCCCACAGACTGGGGCGAGCACCCCTTCGCTGCGCCCACTCAAGTCGGGGCCAATGTCTGGGATCCATGTCCCCATGGGTCCCCCCGCTTCACAGCACAGCAGGCCTCCCACCTGGCCCAGGGAGTCACATCTCCAGGCTGAAAAACCTGGAATTGAGTGACACCCCCCGCTTAGTGGGCCCCACAGGGCAAACGTCACATCCAGACTGGAGTACTCTCGACCAGCTCCCACCCCTGTCACCCCAATGCTGGCCAACCAATCTCCATCCCCCAGGAGGGCCCTAGGCTACTGTGCCAACCCCATGCGTTCTACACAGAAGGGCCCCCGAGTCCAGAGACAAACTGGGGCGGACTGGAGCAAATTTGTAAATGCCCATCCCTGATCCCTGCCCTTCTGCCCCCTGTCCCTTTGAGTACAGATATCCTTCTCAAAATCAGAAGGGCAACATGGGGTCACCAGATATAGCCTTTCTGAGGGGCAGTCTGGCAGGACAATTTACAGTGACCCAAATGATTATTGCCTTTTGACTCAAGAAACTGTACTTCTGGAAAGTTATCTTCAAGAAACAGGCCACGTGTGGTTGTTCAATGCCACGTGCAACACCTGGCCCACGACGATGTGGATGAGAACGCTGTGGTCACGGAGGGGCCGAAGAGGCCTGAAGCTAGGGCAGTCTGGGGCTCTTTGGTAAAAGTGTGTGACAGACTGGTGGCCCTCACCTCTGGCAAGTTCCATGGCAGGCCTGTGCGGTTAGAAGGCCTTTTCAACCAGGGCAGTATGAAGGATGGGCCTTCAGGGCTATCTCAGTCTTCCAGAAGGTTTGTCTTCCTGCGACCCTAGAGTAAGTCAAGAAGTGACTTACAGGGACCATGTCTCACAGAGGGTTTCCATTAAGCCTTGCTCCCTGTCAGGTTTCTCTTAGCTCTCTCTTATGGAAATCACTTGCCTAACTGGTATCGTTGCTTAAATGAAATTGTTTATTTTGACAGGAAAGACCAAAATGAAGCACTTTCAACCTCTTTTCCTCATCCTATGAGCGTGAAAAGCCCCTATTGGAATGGTAGCTATAAGGTTTCGAGAGAAAACCCTCGATAAGGACACGATCTAATCTCAATATTTTAAGAAAGAAATTTTAGATGAATTATCTCTTGTGATCTTTACTTGAAAGTAGGCACAAGAGGTATTATTATACCATTTTATCAGTGAAGAAACTGAGGCTCAGAGAGAAGGGAAGGAGGAAACCTGTCCAAGGCCACAAGGCGAAGGTGCCACAGTCAAAATTAGAAATCAGATTTGCTCAAGCTGGTTCCTCTGGGGAATTTGCTTTGCAAACCCTAGTCTTTGGTAGAGCAAATGCCCATATGCAAATGGCTCAGTATCTATAGGCAAACGTCCTTACCCCTCACTCCCAGCCTGAGGGCCAGTTTGGGTCGGAGCACCCTCCTGAGGCGGCTGGGGCAGCTCCTGCCCTCCATCAGCCCTCCTGCTCCTCCACCCACAGGCACCAAGATGCCCTTCCCTCTGCCCACCCATCCCTTACAGCCCAACACAAGAAGTGCTTCCTGCCTGGAGTTCTCCCTGAATGCTCCAGACCCCTGGGACTTCTCCTTTCCCAGAACAAACTCAAAACAATAATTACAGTGAGGAGGCTGCAAGTTACCAAGTGTCTCTCTTGTGCCAGGCACAATGACACTGAAAGGCAGGTAGGTACTCTTATCATTCCCATTTTACAACTCAGGACACTGAATTCAGAGAGGTGGAGTGACTTATTCAAGGTCACACAGCAAGTAAGCAGAGAGCTGAGATTCCCACTCTAATCCGCCTGACTCCAAAGTCTAGTTCATCAGTCCCTTACCTATTCAGGGGAATGACAAAGCATCCTGACCACAGGCTTGTGAATAAGCCCTACCTTAGGATGACATGGCTGCGACCCCACAGGTGAGCACCTGCTCACACAGCAGTCTCAGGACCTGTCCCAACCCTGCTGTTGTCCACAGGGAGAAATATGGAGGCGACTGAGATGTAAAGCCAGGGTAAAGAGGCTCCACGGCTAGGGGCAGGGAGCATGGACATTGGATACACCTGTCTTGTTCATCTGGGTATCCCCAGCACCGAGGCCCAAAGGTTATCAATAATGTGAGTTGCATAATGAAATGAATAAATGAAGTAATAATAATCAGAATGATTTTAAAGACAATCCCATACAATTATCTAGCACTGCTCACAGTTTACAAAGCTCTTCTGTGCCCACCAGCATTCTCATTAGAACCTCAAGAGGATGGCAAGCAAGGAAGAATTTTCACTCTCATTTCACGGAGGAAGAAACGAGGGCACCAGGAGGGAGGCACCTTGCTCAGGCCACATGCATGAGAAACAGGAAGCAGCACGGTGCTGTGATGCTGGATGCTAGCTCTCTAAGCCTCAGGTTTCCTCCTCTGTAAAATGGGGTGAAACAGGCTACCTTGCCTCACTCCGGCCCTGGCCCAGGACTCTGCCCACTGCACCTCGCTGCTTCTCAGACAGTTCTAGGAGATCCGTCTTTTCCTCCTCTTCAGTTCGGTTCAGTGCCAAGTTCAGAGCCACTACACTGGTCAGGGGGCCATGGGAAGAGGGGGCCTTGCCCAGGGTACCACAGCTGGCATAGAACATCCTCTCTGCCACTTATCAGACCCCTGGTCAGGCAGGGGCCACCCCTCACCCTAGTTGGGCCCCAGATCACTTCATCTGATCCACACCACCTCTGCCTGATTTCTCTGCATCATTTTCTGGCTGGTTCTAAGTAATGATTCAGTCAGTGACCCTAGTCCTGGTGTCCACCTACTGTGTGACAGGCACAGGGAAGACAGGGCAGGGGCCAAACATTTCCTGAGCTCTTCCTGCGTGTCACACGGATTGCATCTCATGTGAGACTCCCAACATGCCTTTGAGGTGGGTATCCCCTGTGCAGCCCTGGGACCTGGACAAGAGGGTGGGCCCTGGCGAGAGGTGAGGGAGGAAGGTAGCCAGGGCCAGGCCAAGCCATTCAGATCTTGCCTAAGGGAGGGGCTTGAAGCCAGAAAGAGATATGGTCAGATGTGTGTTCAGGACAGAGGGACAAGGCAGAAGGACATTCTTGGAAGAGGTCACAGCTTGAGCAAAGGCGTGAAGATGTGAAAGCACAAGGCAGGCTTGGGATAGTGAACAGCACCCACGGGCACTAAAGAGAGCTGCAGAGCAGAGAGGTGGGGAGACACAGGGCACTGAATGCCACGCTAAGATGTTGGGTTGGAATGCTGGTGGTGAGAAGGCGGCAGGAAGCATGCTGGGCCAGGGGAGCAGTGACGCGGAGGTGACTCTCTGAGGACCTGGTGAGGGCTGGGGGTGGAGACAGAGCAGCCACCCGGGGGTTGAGTGTGCATGCTAGAATGGGCAGAGGAAACACGCTGGTGGCCAGGCCTCAAGCACGACAAAAGCCAAGACTCTCTACTGTCAGCCCCAAGACACAGGGCTGATCCTCGCAGGGGAGCAAATGTCATTTTGTTTCTCTTATTCTAAAAGGTGAAAAACAGCGGATGGACGGATGAATGAAACACCCCTTCCAAAATACGGCCTGCTGATGGCAGCTGGCCCATCTATCAATCTGTCCATCCATTCATACTGGACAAATCCTCTGGGCCAAACTGGGACCAGTGCTGGGGAGCCTTAGCCCACTGGAAAGAACTCGGCCCTCCCCGAGCCCCAAGCTAAGTGGAGGAAGCAGACAAGTGGCCCACAAGCTTCTGCAAAGAACTCCGACCTATGAGACCACCTACACAGCACAGTAGCTGCCCTGAGGTCAAAGCTTATGGGCCACATTCCAGTCCTGTCCTCCATGGCCTCCCTGCCACCTGGCCCCTCGGAGAAGGCCTGTGTGCCATGACACCTGGCTCCTCACTTTCTCAGCCTCCTTTATAGTCCCTAGCCTCTCTTCCCCACCAATTCAGCTCCTCAGGATAGAGTGGGAGCTCCCTCTCTCCCACCAGCCTCAGTTCCTGGGTGGCCCAACCATTTTAGAATCTAAAGACCAGCCAAGCCCGAAGTCCCCACCTCCAGCTAGGCCTCTCCCTGACAGTCCCTTTGGCCGACTCCTGGGCTGCTCAGACTCTGCGGGCCTGAGCTGGACTTGGTCTTTCCCTATGCCATGCACCTGGTCTGGTCATCCCCCCCTCACAGTGGGACATCCCCATCTGCCCAGATGCTCCTGCAGACACACAGTGATCTAACACACACCTGCCCAGATGCTCCTGCAGACACACAGTGATCTACCGCACACCTGCCCAGATGCTCCTGCAGACACACAGTGATCTACCGCACATCTGCCCAGATGCTCCTGCAGACACACAGTGATCTACCGCACATCCTGCCCAGATGCTCCTGCAGACACACAGTGATCTACCGCACATCTGCCCAGATGCTCCTGCAGACACACAGTGATCTACCGCACATCTGCCCAGATGCTCCTGCAGACACACAGTGATCTACCACACTTGCCCTCCCTCCCCACCCACCTCAGACCCATCTCAGCCATGTCTTCAGGATTCCAGTTCCAAAGTCTCTCTCAAGCCCACCCACTCTTCTCCAACAGTCCCAGCCACTGTTGCCTCACCGGGACTGTGGAACAGCCCGCTCTGTTTGCAGCCCAGCATACCCGGGTCCCAATCTTGACTCCAACTCACCAGCTGTGTGATCTTGGGCAAGGCACTTGCTCCTACCCCCCATGGAAGGGATTAGCAGCCCAGAGCCAGGGACCTGACCCAGCCTGGAGAGGATCAGGGAGGACTTCCCAGGGGAGGTGATGCCTGCCTTGGGTCTTAAAGGATGAGTGGGAGTTAGCTAAGCAGAGGAGGGGTGGGAGCATTCCCAGCAGAAGCAACAGCTTGAGCAAAGGCCCCCCAGGCGAGGAGCCCAACAGTGTGTGAGGGGAGCCACGAATGTTCGGTGTTGCCTGGCAGATGGGAGATGAGGCTGGAACCAGCAGCTGGGGCCAGACCTAAAAGGCTGCTCCCTGATTCCTAGGCCTGAAGGTTAGACTTGAAGCAGTAGGTGATGGGACAGAATCTGTGGTTGAGAAAGGCCCCTCTGAGTGCCTAGTGTAGAGGGGACTAGAAAGGCCAGGAGAAGAGGCAGCGGGAAGCCCCTGGGGAGCAGAGCAGAGAGGCAGGGGCTGCGCCTGGGCCAGGGAGGAGGGCGGCCTAAGAGGCCTGGAGCTGGAGGCCAAGGAAGCATGCAAAGTACCCCCCACAGTGGAGCCCAGGGGGCCCACTGTATGCCAATGCTGACAAACACAGCCATAGGAACATGCGGACAGACAGCACCAAACCCAGACACACATGACAGATACAGACCTGTGGCCCCAAACATGGACTGATGGGGACCCAGCAGCTGCCGTGAGGAGGAACCCACAGCCACCACGACACAGGAGGCCGCTACAGGAGGGTAAGCACACACCTCCCCCAGGGCAGACCCAGAGCGGGGCAGTAGGAGCACTCAGGGAAGAACACAATGCTTTAATCCCCCAAAGAACAAACCCTCATTGACAGAGTGCAACCTGGAATCACAAGCTCCTTACCTAGAGTGTCCTTTCCCACTTGGTGAACTTCTACTCATCCTTCAAGACCCAGCTCAAGTGTTCCCTCTTCTACGGAGCTTTCCCTGAACCCCCAGCCAGTCACTTCCTCTGTGTTCCCAACAGCACCTTGTATATGGGAATAACAATAACAATAATAACAATAATAATAGTAATAAAGTGCCAGCTACCATTGATTTTAACATCTATGTGTTGAATATGTCATGATTCATGTCACTGAATCTTCCCAATGACTCTGTGAGATGCACAATTAACAGAAGAAAGTGCAGCACAGAGAGATCGACCAACTTGCCCCAAATCACACAGCTAGTAAGTGATGGAGTTAGGATGCCCAGCACTGAGCCAGCACTACAGGGCCAACTGCACTCCAGGGCAGTTATATTTTCCCGGGTGTCCTCCCCACCAGACTTCAAACTCTTCACAAGTAGGGTTGGTGCTCATTCATTTCTGCCAGCCTCTAGCCCAAGGTGGCCACTTTCAATGGACTGGGGACTGTGTCAGGATATTTTATAGCCATTATTTTACTCTCACAATAGACCTATTGTACAGATGAGGAAACTGAGGTCCAGAGAGGTTAAGCAAGTTGCCTTAGGTCACAGAGCTGAGTCTGAACTTGAAACTGGGTCTGTTTATCACCCTGTCCCAGAAGGGTGTCTCTGAGGCCAGCCCAGCAAGTTCCACAGAGGGGAACTGAGGGAGGGGGTACTGAGGAAGGGGTACATCAGGTGCCAGGCCCTGCCACCTGGAGACTTTCAGACCTAGACAAATGGACACAAAGAGGACAGGCAGCCCAGGGGGAATGTCACGAGACTCACCCACTGCAAGGCAGAGGGGTTCAGTAAAGCAACTTATGGCCACCCCCCACCTCCCGCCCCAGCCCAACACACAGACATTAAAAAGTGAGATTTGCTTGGCTGGGCTGGGCATGGTTCATGCCTATAATCCCAGCACTTTGGGAGGCTGAGGCAGGAGAATCGCTTAAGCCCAGGAGTTTGAGGCTGCAGTGAGCCATGATCACACCACTGCACTCAAGCCTGGGTGACAGAGTGAGAACCTGTCTTTAAAAAAAAGAGACTTTGCCCAGACCCCATGGCCACATGGGAACTAGCTCCTCACAAAGCAAATGCGAGAGAGCAGGACCCAAAACTGTCCGGATACTATGATTACAAAGGAGGCAAAAATAAAAACCTGCGTCAGAAAAAGCAAGCTTCAGGGAGCCACACCCAGAGGGAGGCTGGGAGCAAGGCAGGAGGCAGCTGGGGCCAATCTTGGTCTTTGTCTTTGTTTCTCTGATTTCCAAATTCTCTGTAATGCTGTTCCATTTCTTAACAAAAACAATAAATTTATTCTTAAAAAATGAACGAAAATAGTTGGTAGCCCAGTGCGGGGAACAGATGGAGGGTCCAGAGGCATGGGGCAGTGGGAGGTCAGCGTCAGCTGCTGGTGGGCAGGCAGTTGACTGTTGCACGCCAGGCCCTGCACAGCCCCAGCCTCAAAGCACACATGACTTGGAGGGTGGGTGTCAGGAAGGGCTACCTGGAAGAGGTGGCATTCCATCTGCACCATGAAGCTGATTAGGATCCTACAGGGTGGGGAGAGAAGAGGGTCTGCACCACCTCCCCTGCCCTGATACAGGCCCCCTTCAGCTCTGGCCTCAGCTATTGTAAGAGCCTCCTCACAGGTTCCCCCCCTCCTCCATCCTCCACTCCATTACTGCAGCCACTGTAATTTTAATAAAATAAAAGATCCCAACCCTGCCCTTCTTAGGACCCTCCATAGCTCCCTACTTCCCTCCAGACAATGTCTGGATTGCTTAAGCCTTACGTGTGCGGCCCCTGCCCATCTCTCTGGCTGTTCCACTTTGCACTGCACAGCCAGACTGAGCATCTCCCAGTTCCCCCAGGGCTCTGCTTCCCTTCTCACCTTCCACAGGTTGCATCCTCTCCCTGGTATTCTCTGCCCTCCCCATTTCACTAGTGAATTCCAATGCATCCCTCAGGCCACAGCTTACAGGCCACCTCTTCCTGGAAGCAATCGGGCACTACTCTGCCTCCATGCTCGGGCTGCACTGCGTGCTCTCCTCACTGCTCCCTTTGTACCCTGCATTTCCATCATCAGAACCTCTCTCACCCCATGTTCTGTCTGTTTGCTCATCCATCTCTGCTGCCAGACATGCGCTCCGTTGTGGAGGGATCATGGCTGAATCATTTATCTTTTAAACCCTGCACAGTATCTCACAAAGGTTTGGATTAATTAATCAATTACTTAATAATCAGGTGGGGGGAACTGAAAGGGCTGTGGCCTGGATAGAAGGAAGCCCCCTCCCCCTCCTCCGAGTCCCCTCCACCCACTCTGGCACTGTGCTGTCCCTCTCTGTTACACTGTTCACTGTTTCCTGTATCTAAGTCCTGTCTTCCTAATTGACCCCAGAAGGGGCTATTTGTGTTCTCTAAAGACTAGCCGATCCAAAAAGGATGTTAACAGCTAATAAACACAGAAAATGATTCTGCTTCCATAGCAGTGAAAATTCAATGAGTTTAACCTATCAAAATAGCAGTAAGAAATAAGAAAATGCTAACACCCAATACTGGTGAGGGTATGGTGAAATTGGCACGCTCATGTATTATTGGTGGGAGTGTAAATTGTAACAATCATTTCTGAAAACAATCTGGCATGAATTTGTCAAGAGCTCTAAAAATGTTCAAACTTCCTGGCCTAGTGATCCCATTCTTGGTCATCCATCCCTAGAAAAATAGAGAAAAAGTTATATGTACAAAGCTGTTTGCATCAGTGGTTTTTTACAACAGCAAAAACCTGGAACAGCCAAAATTTTAAATAGGTTCTGTGTAAGTCATGTTACTTGGTGACACAGTCTATGGTCGTTAATAACAGCTAATGTTACTGGCCTTGTAATGACTCATTTAACACTCACATTGGCCTGTCAGGAACTGAAGGCACAGAGAGATCAGCAAATTTGCCCAAAGTCAAGCAGTTAAGTGTAGGATTTGAATACAGACAATCAGGCCCTAAAGCCCATCCTCTCCACCCTGACACTGGATCCATTAAAAGGAAGGATTGAAACCACTCTGCAGTCATTTAAAAAACACTTGTGATAGGGGGGAAATGGGAAGATTTTTTTAAAACTGCATGTATAGATAGAGCAAGGATATCTATATGAAAACTGGGTGCTGAGAGAAAAGAGGGGAAGAAACACCAAAAGGCTAACAGTGGTGATGTTTCTGGCTTGGAGCAGGGGCAGAGATGAGGTGGGTTTTTACTTATTGCATATCCCTGTTTTCTAATTTTTCTCCGTGTCACAGCTAATGAGACAATAGGCCTGGAAGAGTATTGTTATGTGACTTTTTAAAGGAATATTTTTAATAAAACCAAAAGTTAAGCAAGGTATGACAAAGCAAGATACCCCAAACTCCCGCCCACAGCCCCACATAGGATTCTGGCCTAAGGCCCTGCAAGTTTACCCAGGAGAGTGGGGCTCAGGGAGGGACAGGGGCCTGCTCAAAGTCCCACAGCAAAAGCCTCCAGCCCCACCCATGACAGCAGTGGGTGGGGGAGAGCAGGTATGAAGGGACTCCTGGTCCCATCCGGGGCCCCAGCAGGGAGGACCAAGCTGAAGGAGGGCCTGCCCAGGGCACTAAGTCTACCGCTTGAAATCCTTCTTGGATTCCCATCACTTTTGGGGTACAGTTCAAACTCCACAGTCTGATGCTCAGGCTTTCACCAAGAAGGTCCCCTGGCCACACTCATCTCACC